AAATATATATATGTACTGTCATGAAATTCTGTTTAAGCAGTAAAAATCATCAATGGAAGTGTAGAAAGTCGTTTACAACAAATCTGCATTTTGGGTTGTGTATTTCTCATTGAAGAATTTCATATACAGTTTGTGGACTTCCTAAGGGTACTTTCTTACTCACTTTTCATTCCTATTCTTATGTAAGCCAGTTTATCATTTCATTTTTAATTCCGAAATGGTCCTTATAAATCGGTTCTAATTCCCGTTTAAGCTGGAGTATATTCCATTTATTCTTCAGAAACAGAACTACAGCATATCAACGAACGACGTTGAATTCATATGTAGTCTGGTACGCAAATGTAAAGAGGTTGGTGAGGAGTTTGTCATGTTGCTATTGCTTCCTTACTTTTTTTTCTCTATTTGTCTTGAAACAGGATTCCAGAACAATTGATACGATATGGTTATTTAGGAACTAATTTTGAATAAGTGTTTCCTGAGATACGGAGGTTACAGAAATCTAAAACTGAAAGTCAAAATTGAAGGTTTCCAACATCTCTATAGGACATGGAATGTTGAAAATACCCTAGTCTAAACGTGCGTTTTTTAGCCCGCTATTTTGGAATCGTTCTTGAATGCCCATGAATTATTCAAGTTGACTGATAAGTCACGAGCTCAAATATATGGAAGTTTAATCGAAATTTATGGTATCCTTTCTCCCATTTCAATTTTATCATAAATTTTCCCAACTTCATCGAAATCTATTATTTTTCAGGAAGGGCCAACAATTTGACTGGCTTGTTGAAAATATGGGAACAAATGGTTGCAGAGAAGAATTTGAATAACTTCAGAGTTGTGATACTAAAACTTGGTCACTTCTACAAATGCAATAATTTTTCAGTCCCAACTGATATGCAGTATTACTTGAGACAGTACAGAGAGTAATCAGTTAATAAAATCAAAAAATACAAATTGGTTTTTACACAGAGTCACTAGAAGGACTGAAAGATTCAACATGAAAAAACTTCCGTCGAATTGTAGGAATACTGTCATTTGAGACTGCTAGTAATAAGCTAAGTAAAATTTGTTTGGGACTCTCATCGACTAAATATGCCATCGCTACAGGACAGAATGGATAGATTGCACGTACACTCCTCCCACGCAATATTCATATCACCTCATCCCAACATCCCCACCATCTAAAATGTCTGCTTTCATGTGCTTTCGCGATCTGCGTGATAAGTGTGCTGTGTGCGTGAACTGTGTGGCTTGACGTGACACGAAGTGGCGTGTGCTCCTTTATAAGTGTTGTACCTTATACCGTATAAGACGCGTTAACAAGCGGGTTTCATATGCAAAATTTCTGAGTCTATTGGCATCAGCTTCATTCTATTACTGTGTTTGTGTCACGGCTACTGTTGAAGGCGAGAAGTGTGCGGCGACGTGAAGTGAAATTAATACGAAGCTGAAAATTGTCGATAAAATCTAAAGGAAACTTTAATGGGATGGACACTCAACGCGGCACGTCACTCTGTGTAAGCTAACCTATGCTATTTTCTCTCTCTCGTTTTTCTACGCAGAAGTATAAAAATTAGAAGTGAAGTGCACTTTTTTCAATCTTTCTTGCAAAGATCAAACAGTCAGGCATGTTGCACTAGCTACAATTATTTCGTTAATGTAATTATTTCCTCGGATTTTTACGAGATGTATAGTGTAATTACTCTTAATGTAATTATTAGATTAACAGTATAATCATTTATTTGAATTTCACAAACGTAAGCTATAATAAGCTGGAAATATTGTCTAATACCATGTATAGAAAAATGAAATGTCCCAATTCATGATCAACTTCCACACTAACAGCAAACTGACAGTACCAGCATTTCATTATATTAATTGATTCAGGCAGGTGAATGAAGTCTTTGCATGTTCAGTGTTCGGTTTACGAATCGCGTCATAAAAGACTTCGACAAGATATGTCTCTCCTAGTGTTCTCTCCTTCCCTTATCTGTTCGTCAGTCTCGTGCAGAATTTCCTAACTAGGTAGATGAGATATGCGCACGTTGATGTAATATCCAAGTTAATTCGAAGAAATAATTAAAAATCTTACATGACATGATTCATAGATTTCAGTACATATTGAACCAAAAAACAGCAATTCGTATGAGCCTCTGTTTGTTACAAAGTTGGACTTTAAGGAGAAAAGTGATATCATATCTAAGTTAAAATTCAAATTAGTTCGAAGATGTAATTATGATCTTGAGGAGTAAAAAATTGCCGGAATATGAATCAAAACAAGTTGTCCTTTTAGTGTCTCCTAGTGTTCTCTCCTTCCCTTGTCTGTTCGTCAGTCTCGTGCAGAATTTCCTAACTAGGGTAGATGAGATATGTGCACGTTGATGTAATATCCAAGTTAATTCGAAGAAATAATTATAATCTTGAAGAGTAATAAATTGTTGGAATATGAATCAAAACAAGGAGTTGTGCTATTGTTCAATGACACTGTTGGATCGCACATATCTTTACCTGATGGAATCGTCCATTTTATGTTCAATTACCTTTCAGGTAGCCTTTTCTGTGGTTGGTTGGAAAGCTTTCTTGGGAAGATATTTCACGTTTTTGTGTGGATTTCCAAAAAGTTCTGAACTTTTCATATTCATCAGCATTTTTCATACAATCTTGCTGTGCATTTATTCAGTATGAAGATTATAATATAATCAAGTTAGCCCTCAAAGTAAAAAATATCATTATGTTTGAAATTTTAGTGGATGAACTGAAGCATATAAGTTTGACATGTCACGCTCTTAACAATGCGGTTTGCAAGTACGTATTAACTGATACGTCAGGAAGATTTGCATATGAAGTCGCGGATGATGAAGGCGTCAAGACACGACGGAACAGCTATGCTTGGGGTATTTTTTAAAATCTCTAGTGCAGAGAACCGTTGACAGCTAACAGACGAAACCGATTTATTAGACTGTAAACTGAGGCATGTCTTTTTTTTTGTATTAACTTTGAGGAGACCGATGTGATATTGGTAGCGACTACTAATCGTTAGTTTATATTTATATAACAATCTCAGCATTCAACCTTAATATCATAAACAATGTTATTTAATTAAGTAACACAGGTAAAAATATCAAAAGTGAAATGAGTTTTCTGTTTATGTTCTGTTAAAGAGGAAATTCTGCTCTCCTGCGATTGTATTTTTCCTATCTTTTCTGTTACCATTTCAGGAAACTTATTGAAGATGTGTACAGTTTTTTGGCCTGCTAGAAGAAGACGAAGTTTTATGCGTCATTTTTATTTGAAGGTGTGCTACTGCTTTCTAATGTTTAGCTATAAGAATGCTTTTTAAATTAAATGAAGTGAAGTTACTGCGCAGACAGTGGTTCTCATTTTTCAGAATAAGTCAGTCGACGATCACGCAATTTGGGGGCAATGCTTTTCAGGAGTAAGTATTTTATACTCTTTACACTCTTACGATATGTTATGCCTTGAATGGCTTTAATGTTTGTAAAGTG